ACTCCTTCATCAATTGAATTAAGATATGATTTATACAAAAATAGATCTACAAGGACTTCAATGGAATCAAGAAGTGGAAGTAGCATTTGAAGCTTTGAATACAACCTTTGTTTTTGCACGAATCTTGTATCGCATCAATTTTTTTGAACGAATTTTTATGGAAATAGATGCATCACACTTTGCTTTGGATGTCATATTGTCACAAATGAGGACAGATGATAAACTTCATCTAGTAGCTTTTCATTCCAGAAAATTTTCAGCCGCCGAGATCAACTACGAGATCCACAACAAAGAACTTCATGCAATCGTGGATTTGTTTCAAGAATGGCACCATTATCTAGAAGGTGCTCTTAGCTCAGTCACCATATATACGGATCACAAGAAACTTGAATATTTTATATTAGCACATGTTTTGAATCATCGCCAAGCCCGTTGAAGTACGTCTTTGTCGAGATTCGAATTTAAGATCACTTATCGACTAGGAAAATAATAAGGTTTTTCAGATGCACTGTCTAGACGATCTTATCTTATACTAAAAGAACGAGATATTGCTTTTGATCAACAACAAATAATTCTCTTGGAACCAAAGCATCTTCATTTTTGAGCAATGAAATCAACAATCTACTATATTCTGAGAGACATCAATAGGTTCCACAAGGTGAAGCTTGATTACGTGTTCTTTAAGCTCATCATGACTTTCTAATAGTATGACATTTTGGGTATAATAAAACTTTGGAATTAATATCCATGGATTTTTAGTGGCCCCAAATGTGAAAAGCAGTCAAAGTTTTTGTATAATCTTGTGATGTTTGTTCAAGATCAAAAACTCCTTGTCATTGACCTTACAAACTTCTGCAGCCATTATCCATTCTAGAACAACCATGGTCTTCTGTTTCTATGGATTTCATCATGGATCTTTCAATCTCAAGTTCTTATGACTCCATATTTGTGATAGTAGATCATTTTACGAAGATGGCACATTTTATACCATGTATAAAATCCATCACAAGTGAAGAAACAACTAAGCTCTTTCTTCACAATATCTATTGCTATCATGAATTACTCAAGGATATTATATCAAAAAGGAGAACTTAGTTTGTATCAAGATTTTGGGGGACTCTTTTCAAGATTCTAAAAGTAGATATAAAACTATCTTCGTCATTCCATCCTCAAACTGATGGACAAACGAAGTGTGTTAATCAAATTTTGGAGCAGTATTTAAGATGTACCATCAACTACCAACAATATGATTGGACAATTCTTTTACCATTGGTAGAGTTTGTTTACAATAACACAATACATTCTTCTACAAAACAAACACCTTTCTTTGCCAATTATGGTTATCATCAACAACTTGATATTTTTGACTTTTCAAAAGTTGATAATCCTGGGGCAAAAAATTTGGCAATTCATTTATCAGAGCTACATGCAACAATGAAGGTGCAGTTAAAAGAAGCTCAAGAACAAGAAAAGATCAATGCGGATGCCTATCAAAAGGAACAATCACCATTCCACATGGGTGATAAGGTATAGTTACTTAATCACAATATCAAGACCACTCGTCGTTGTGACAACTTAGACTCTCGAAGGCTTCGACCATTTTCTATTTCTGCACAAATCAGTCCAATTGCATATCATTTACACCTATCAAAATCAATAAAAATCCATCTAGTATTCCACATGTCTCTTCTTGAACCATACAAGACAATGGACATATCAAAAAAAAAACAAGCTCCACCTCCTCCTATAGAAGTAGACAATAATGAAGAGTTCGAAGCAGAAGAAGTCTTAGATTCAAGGTGGCGCAAAAATAAATTGAAATATCTTATCCATTGATGTGGATATGATATTAGTGAATGCACATGAGAGTCAATAAAGAATCTTTTAAATGCAGTAAAGGCGGTACATGCTTTTCATGGACGACATCCATCAAAATCAAGATGAAAACCTTTTTTATAAAAGAAACAAGATTTAGGCAAGATAACATTCTACTTTCAATCCTTGTTTGTAGCTTCTTTGTAATTGTGTCATTGAGAAGATGGAGAATCAATAACCAGCGGATTCAACTCAAGAGCCTTCATTTGTTGATTTATCAAACAAGACATTACAATTGTCACAACCTTCAAGACGATGCAATTGAGATGAAGATCTTTAAGAACGACATGTTTTTCCTCAAATACATGGTGAAATATAATGTGTTTGATATCTCAACTTTGGAAGGAATTCTTGATGTTTGGTGATTTTATTAGAGGTAGGAACAACTCTTGATGGTGTTTCAAATGTTTTATTTGAAGGAAGTTATGAAGGCCTCAACAACAATCAAATAATTGGGTGGTCTTTGCACCCTAGTATGAGACACTATCGATGGTTGAGAGGCCTTATCAATCATCTTCGAAGAGAACAAAGATTAGAGTATGTCGCAAATACAATTCATGTCACGGACATATGCATGTAAGCTAGTAATTATATATATAATTAGGTAGAAGTAAGTAAAAGTAGATAAAAGTAAGTTAATTCTATAATATTTATTATGAAAGCTTCTTAGAAGCCTTATAGATACTACTTTGACTTTATAGGTGTCTTTAATTGACTTTTTGGATTAGAAACGTGGTCAACAAGTTGGCCATGTATCACACATGTTGTTAGCTTGAAGACCAAGCTACCTATATGGCCCATACGTAGAAAAACTTGTCTTGTAAGTCAAGGCATGTGTCCTACAAAGTCAACTCATATTGGAGGTCTTATAGAACATTGCCACGTAGCCCTTAGTTAGATAGTATATATAGAGACATGAATGAAGCTTTCTTCACTCTTGTCAACTCCTTTCTTGCTTCTAATCTAGTTTCAAGGATCTCTAATTTTTTTGGCTTTTGGCAATAGCCATTCCAGTTTCTTTCTTAATATACATATTAAGTTATTTTTATTTTTTCATCTTTTTTTGAAAGAATTCTCATTTGTTTATTTATTTTTATTACATTCTTGTCCTTGACAATTCATCGCATCATAAATTTCCTCAACATATGCTAATCGCTCCTCGTGGAACTCGTTCCTAGAAGAAGAGATAATGTCATGAACATATGTATGTAAGCCAATAATTACATGTATAAATAGATAGAAGTAAATAAAAATAAGTAAAAGTAAGTTAATTCAATAATATTTGCTATGAAAGCTTTCTAGAAGTTTCATAGATATTGCTTTGACTTTATAGGTATCTTTAATTGACTTTTTAGATTAAAAACGTGGTCAATAAGTTAGCCATGTATAACATATGTTGTTAGCTTGAAGACCAAGCTAATTATGTGGCCTACACATAGAAAAACTTGCCTTGTAAGTCAAGGCATGTGTCCTACAAAGTCAACACATATTCGAGGTCCTATAGAACATCATCATGTAGTCTCTAGTTAGATAGTATATATAGAGACGAGAGTGAAGCTCTCTTCACTCTTCTCAATTCTTTTCTTGTTTCTAGTCTAGTTTCAAGGATCTCTACTTTTCTTGTCTTTTGGCAATAGCCATTCCAGTTTCTTTCTTAATATACATATTGAGTTATTTCTATTTTGTCATCTTTCTTTGAAAAAAGACTCACTTGTTTATTTATTTTTACATATATATATATATATATATATATATATATATATATATATTATTATCACTTAAATCAATTAGGATCATATATAGGATTTAATCAAATGATACAATTAAACATTAAGTCTTTATTATACTCATTATAATATAAAAATGATATTTTTAGTTCATATATATATATATATATAATTTACTAGATAAGCAATAGTTTGATTTGTTGAATATAATTTTAAATAGATAAATATCTTTTATCTATTCTAACCTTAGTTTAGTTTAAAATGCAAGCACAATATGTTAATATATAAGAAAGTAATAATTTTTTTATTATTATTATTCATAAATGGCTACTAATTCTTTATCGATAACTTTAAAGTTTTATAGCCTTCTAGGTATAATATATATCTCTTGTTGTAGTTGATATTTCTCAATTGTTTAATTTTATGTCTCTTTGTTTTAAATTAAGATTCTAATTCTTAGATAATTGAATCATTTTCTTATATTTATAGAAATATTTAAAATTATGAATAATGATAATTTAATACTTTTCTATTATACAAAGATCTAATTTTTCTTCTACACCAATATTAATTACATGCATAATTAATTTTTGTTTAAGCTATATATTAGGTTTATTATCTTTAGAAATTATACCATTGTTTGTGTATTTTAATATAATTTTTTTTTGTTCTAGCCAACTGGACATAATTAATTTTTTTGTGGCCAATTAATGGCCAATTTTTGATTGATTGTATAACCTTTTACTTCAAATGAACAATAAAAGCTTTAAAAGTATAACTAAAAAATAAAATGGATGATAAATACACAAAACGTACACTAATTAACAATTCATTGTAATTTATTCTGATCCATAATATAAAATGTGTAAATGTGTTAATTATTTCATTTTATGCATTCATAATAATTAGCATATTTTAACAGCAATGCAAAAATTACTGTTGAAGCTTGCTTGCAAAATAAAATTAGTTTGTGTTTATGCAATTTTAGATATAGACCATCTAATAGATCTTCATGGAGACCATATTGCAAGATGATTTCCATTTAGATTAACCATCTAAATAAAGATTTTAAGAAAAACCCCATTAATACGTAGCGTCATTTTGGCTAATTGTGACGTGGGTGTCAACATTGCTCATATACAACCCTGAAGCGCATATTATTTCAATGAGCAGTCTGGAAGTCACTGTCACAGAGTACACTTACATCAGACAGTATTACGTCCACAACGAGTGATTTGGATGTGTTGTTCCTGCGGACGGGTGCTTGCACAATCATCCACAGTCGAATCAGTGAAAGGATTGTCACAAACCACTACCACACCCCACCTTTCGTCCCAATTCAATGTTGCCAAATGAATCCCAATCCCAATCCCTATACATTCTTGCACTCCAAGCAAATGTCCAACCAAATCAGGTTTATTGTTCAAAGATACTCCATTGGCGGTGCGGATGCATTTCCAGAGTCTGTCCTGGCTGTAAGTGTCCTGCCTGCCACTTACAAACAGGACACTTTTCTGCAGCCACCACTAAAACACGCTGAGGGTAGTTTCTGTACAGAGGATTGGTTTACAAATGCTAGGTTATGGAACTAATTACTTCACGCTCGTGAATTGCGCTCAATCAGCATGATCTAATGCTTCTAAAACATGACATGCCCATTGCTATTGGTCTGTTGCCTCAGCTTCCACCATCCCACAACAGCACAAGTAATCTACTAATGGACTACATCAAATTGGCGTTGCCGGGAAATGGAGCGAAGGTCGATGATCATAGCACAAACTGTGGCGGAAAAGAGAATCTTGGGCTGCCTTGCGACTCGAGCTTCGGGAAGTAACTGTCAGACATACTTTGTTATTAGGTAATAATGAGACCGATGCTCTCAGTTATTCAAGCGCGGCACATTCCTTGGTACGGGTTGCCGGGACGAGGCATCGGCTCTGTTTCTCATGAAAACGGGGCGTGATTTTTCTCATATAGAGCACCATCCAAGGAATTAGGGCGGTTGCAATGTGCCGCAATTCATCCTTTCAAATAGTGAACGTAGTTTCGTATAACCTCGCAAACATTAGACGTCTTGTTATTGTACACCTGCAATGAGCATGTAGCAAAACAAATGAGGTCTGGCACCAAGATGACACAATTTCATGAAAATAGTGGTGTTGTTAAACACCATTTGAATGCACACCACGCAGTCACCCCTCCTATCAAGCCCGCTCTCCTCTGATACGGCGAGCGAGTTGGATATCCTTCGGCATAATCGTCACCCGCTTCGCATGAATGGCGCACAGGTTGGTATCCTCAAACAAACCAACCAAATACGCCTCCGAAGCTTCCTGCAAGGCCAGCACAGCTGAGCTCTGAAACCGGAGATCCGTCTTGAAGTCCTGCGCAATCTCACGCACCAACCGCTGGAAAGGCAGCTTGCGAATCAACAACTCCGTCGACTTCTGGTACTTGCGGATCTCACGAAGAGCCACCGTCCCGGGCCTGTAGCGGTGAGGCTTCTTCACACCTCCAGTCGCCGGCGCAGACTTCCGAGCCGCCTTGGTTGCAAGCTGCTTACGGGGCGCCTTGCCACCAGTAGACTTCCTAGCGGTCTGCTTGGTACGCGCCATAGCTGAAGTATCCCGAACCCAACGAAACGAGAAGAAAAGTGAAGGACACAAACAACCAACTACGCACACACGAGTAGCGTTCAAAGCCTGTGTGTACACCGTTACCTAGAGACAGTCTGCAACAACGACACGCTACCGATACAGCTCATAGAAGGTATTCTGCTATATGGTGAAAGACGACCATGCGCGCGGAAATTTTAGGGCGGGAATTTCGAAATTGGGATTTGGGGCGTGGGCGGGGGGGTGTTGACGGTCTCTGTTCCCCTGTTGGCGTTGGCGCCAACTGTGAGCTAGTTCTCGGGGTCCATGTCAGATCGAGCATCGCATCGCGACAACTTCATTCATCCATCAATTCATCTCTCCATCAATTAATTCATTCGTCCTGTCTCAGCAAAAAGATAACATACACCCGTATACCTATCATCCATCTAATGGATTTGAATTCTCATCTGCTTCAACGAAATTGCTTCCCCTCACAATTAGGCAGACCCTGAAGCAACATCTGGCAGGGAGCCCCTTCCGATGTGATTGCTTCCAGATTTTCGAAAAGGACTGCCCTCTCTCTCTCTTTCCATTTGAAAATGAGGGGAGTGTGTCAGATCCCTTTACCGCGTCCAAAGCCTCATTCTTTACCGTGTCTCTCTCTCTCTCCTCCCTCTTTGTTTGTGGTTTTGATGTCTGGGGCCCATTTTTTCTCTAGTTGATCTGTTGCTTTGTGGATTGTGTTGTCACTTTTCTAACCAATGGGTGATGATGCCATAAGCCCTGGAGGGCGAAAAAAAGGAATAAAGTAGGTGTAATGAGGGAATTGAAGATTACATAGTATTACAGGATGGAAAAAAGGATGTCAGACAAAAAAAAAGGGGGGGGGGAGTCTACAACAAACACTTAAATTTTATCACTTGATAGCTGTTGAATTGATGTGCATAAACTCTTATTCCTTAATAACAATGAATAGAAATAGAGAGTGGAAACAGTGAGTGGAAATTTTTATATTTGTTCTATATATATTATTTATTTATTTATTTACTTATTAACACCTTGCATCGTTATATACTGATTTGATAGAAACATTGGAATATATATAGGGAAATGTTAAAATGACCCAAGTTTATGTTAAATTGACCCACATGTCTAAACCATCATTGCACCTCTTCAGCCCCATCCCCGTTCCCCTCGTTCCCACAACCCCCATCCCTGGCTCCAACCCCCCAGCCCCGTCCTCGTTGTGGCGACTTCATTGCATGAAATTCATGGGTCTTGTACACACTTGTCTGGAGGAAATTCAGGGCGGCTCAGCAAAGCTGCAGAATTTGGGTCTTGCAATTGTATCAGATCATGCGGATCGTGAGCACAAATTCATTAACCGAAACAGAAGACTTGACAAATTAAATTATGGAGAAAATTGAGGCAGAAGAGTTCAAGTACCTGCAAAAAAAGTGCAAAATAAAAATTCAAACGAAAGGTTTTGAAGGATTATGATTCTCCCTCAGATTTGAATTTGCCTGAGTTGCAATCGTTGTATTGACGCTATTTTTTTTCTTTTTTTTTTTTCTTTTTTTTTTTTTTTCTCTGTCGGTTTATTTGTTGGTATACGCAATGCAGTGTGTTCCTTTCTATTCGAGCTAGGGCTTTGGGTTTATGAGACTTTCGAACCGAGTGCTGGGTATTTGGAATCTCCAAGCTAAGTGGCTGAGACCCTCTCGCCCACCCACGAAATGAGTTTGTTTTAGTGGACTTCATGATGGGGCGAGCTAGAAGCAAATCAAGTGCTCAGTATCCCATTTTTACGTGATCTGCCTCAGCGCCATATTCGTGGTGACAATGTTAATGCTTACGTTCCGATTTCTTCATATGGAGAATCCTGCAAGCTACTCAGATCTAGTTTCAAGTCTCGCAACAAGGACTTTGAGGCACAGGTAAGCTACATCTTTCAGAGTTTAATTTATGTGTAGTGTATTTCCTGCCCATGATGCCTTCGAATGAGCGACCATTCCGCAGACTTTTGAGTCTAGACGATTACAACGAAGTTAAGGATTTTGCTTGGATGGGTCGGAGATATAATTTTCGTGACAGTCTTTTAGTAGGCAATGGTGGCTCTGTTGCGAGAAAGCATTTAAATGGATCAAGAAGTTATTTCATTCGGACTCAAACCTCTTGAGAACTAGACATATATGATGTCATCGAGTTGATGTGCGGTGCAAACTTTCAATCGGGGCCGTTGCTGCTATCGATGATCTTGGAGCCGAGAACTGGACGTGTACAGGGGGTGGATTTTGAGTGTGGAAGCTTTTTGGCAGCTTGTGGTGGTGGCCCCATGAAGGAGAGAGGCGGAGGGAGGGAGAGAGAGAGAAAGCGAGCGAGAGCGACATGAATGGGTTTCAATCACCCGTCACCAATGTGTGCGGACTGTTTGAATCCGATTGTCGAGGGGGGTCCTTTGCTGAACCGCCCTAAAAAATTTCTAGCCGAGTGTGTAAATGTCTAGACCATGAATTTCACCCAGTGACGTCACCGAAACGAGGACGGAGCTAGGGACGGGGCTGCGGGAATAGGGAACGGGGGCTAAAGGAGTGCAATGATGGTTTAGACATGTGGGTCAATTTAACAAAAGCTTTGGTCATTTTAACATTTCTATGTGTATATATATATATATATATATATATGTAATATGTTCATATCTAACAATCATTACTTTAAACATAAAAAAAGTGTATGAAATGTTTAAGACTACTGAAAATATGAACTATCATGATGGTTCCGCATAAACCTGAAAATCTCAATCATAGAAACTTTAATATTGATTATATGACATTTTAAAAATTATGATAGAAACTTTAAAAAGTGATTAAGCATTCATCAAAGATTCTGGTGAATTTAAATATTGACTTGTACATGTAATATGGGTAAAAAACAATTGTGAGTTAAATTACTAACTTGAAGTAGAGTTTGAAACCCCTTTTATATATGTTGACAAGTATTTTTATATAAATAATAAAAATAAAAAGTAAAAAAGAGATCTTTTACATCCCACACATGAATACAACATACATTTAAAATGAAAAGAAAAGAAATGTCTTCTTAGTGATTATTATTCTTCTTGTTAGTGAAATGATAACAACATTTGAAATGCAAGCACATTAGCAACAGTGCTTTTTAGTGATTTAATATAATGAACAAGACAAACTGCAGAAACTAAGGGATTTTGGGCTGACCCAAATGTTATAGTCCTGTGCTCCAAAGAATAGCATTTTTATGGCCCTAACATGTTTCCTACGCTGTTTATTCTCTCTTTTTCCACAACAACATTGGAAGCACACAATCTTGTGTTCTCCACCACAACACAAGCTGTTAAAAAAGCCATCTCCCGTAGAACTTGGGTCAAGTGACGGAATCTGTGTATTGGAGACCCCACACTGATTCTGAAGTAATTTGAACTATATTTAAGCTTTAACCTTGGCCTTTTTTATAGTGGATGCTTGGAATTTTCCCCGCTACTGCCCGGATTCTGGACCCCGAAAAACAAGTTGGCTTAATTCGAGCCCATTTTGATTCCGGGCAGTTTAAGTGGATTGAAAAAAGTGCCACAAGTCGCAAGGGAACATCTAAGTCTCAATGGTTTCCGATGCTATTGAAGGGCTAAAGTCCATCTAATGCTGCAATTTTGTGTCATTTGTGCCCACAGTCTCCATCCAATGCCCACAACCTTTGACCATGTCTCTATTTTTTTCTACCTCACGGTAGATTCTCAACAACCCTAAAATTTTACCCTACATCCCTCAAAACTCAGGTCACACCCACAAACAACAAGTGGGTTTACAATTTGTGTTTAAGAGTGCTATGTGAGAGGATGTTGAAGGCAATCAATAGAGAGTACATTGCACAAGGACTTTAGAGCCAAAGAAACTCACAAGTTTGATGTAGATTCTGAACGGAACAATGTTTCAAATTTTGGATATACATGAAAGTATAATAAATATAGGAATAAATATATGAATTTGAATGGAGAAATCCTAAGTACAAATCTTCATGTGCAGTATCTTCATGTACAAATCTTCTGAGCACCCAACTGATTTGGGTGATAAGATACTATCAGCCATTTCCATTTGCTTGAAGCTTCACACGGTGATAGGGGCACTCGCAACTGTGTGTGAGTGTGTTTGTGTAGTGAACGTGGACATGCTTCGTTGCAGAGACAAATATAGGATGCTGATTTTGTAGCTCTGTGTTGCTTTTGCCTATAAAAGCTCGGCCATGGCAATGCGTGAGTGGCTGCGGTGGTTGTTGTGGACGAAGGGTGAAACGGCCCCGCTTAGTTGGGTACCGGGAGTGAAAATTGCGCTACTGTACAAGGAGAGGAAAAGGGGTCTCGTGAAGAAGGCGGTGGTGGTTTGAGGGAAGGTGCGCGCTGGTCATGGTCTGACTTTTCGCCGCTGTTGGGTTGAGCACCGCTCCAGCGAATCGGAATTTTGGCTCCTCTTCTTGCTCACCAGAGTCCAGACACCAAGTTTGTTGGCCGGCATCGCTCGAGGCGCGAATGAATGCAGCCTCCATATGCTTCATAATTGCCTAGTCGTGGAGTCTGAAGTTTTGATTGCTCTGGTGTTTGACTTCTGGGTGTTGATGGTATTGTTATTGCTGCCTCTCTCGTAGTTCCTGCTAGTTTTTTCTTTTTTGCGTTGTGGGCATGAGTGAGAGGGCAGTGGTTAGCGCTGACTTGTCGTGCTGCTTTGTCTGGTGGTGTGGAGTTTTGAACTGGGGTGAGTCCTCGAGAGAAGATGAGGGCGAGAAGAAGTGGGAGTATCGTGTGTCATTTGGTATTTGAGAAGACTTGAGCTATTTATAATGTCCAGAGGAAGGACCCAGCATTGCGGGTTGAGAGATTTCTAGTTGTCGCCGCAGCATAGGTTGAGTTCTTGCGAATGATGTAATCCGGCAGCCTCTAATTGTGGTATTGCTTCATCGCTGATGTGTAGTTGAAAGCCCCGCTGTGAGCTTGTAGAGAGCCGGTGGTCGCTCCACGATAGTTCATTGGCCACGTTTGCTTGTGGTATTTTGAAGACATCTTGCAGAGCGATGAAGTCCTTGTTCAGGTTCATGTACAGTGGTGATCATCTATCGAATCTTGATCTAAGTGCAGAAAGGTCTAATCGCGAACGCGAATAGAGAGGTTTTAATTATTGGCCGGATGGCTATGTTTATGGAGAGATACCCCTGTGTGACGGGAGCGGCCGTTTCATCGGCGTCCAGAAGGATAGGACCGGATGATTTATTTCAAAAAATGTTAAGGAGGAGGGAGGTGTAAGGGAAGGAGCAACTCGTTTTGAATTTCGTGAAAGCATTGGAGGTTGAACCATGTGACACATTTGGCGGCGCCGCTCACACATTTGTGGGTACTGACGACAGCCGAACTGACTAACCACCACTGAATGGACTTTTGGGTTATGCGCAGACATTCAAACACTAACTAGCCCAGGGAGAAGGTGGGCGAGATTTTTCCATCCTTCTCCATGAACGTCTACTTATTCCTCTTCCTTCTTTGTTTCGCCCCTTTGGCCTCGCATCGTTATGGACTAATGAAATCCGTCACTACATTGTACGAATCCTCTGACCCGCGGGAGCCACCCTCTCCTCCACCTCCCCCAGCGCGATCACTCCTGTACAGGTCCGTTACATATCTCCGTAAAATAATATTCCAGAAGCCGCCGAAACTGAACCGCAAACCCCCACCTCCGCCACCTCCAAGCCCTGATTATAGCCGCTTTGCCCCTCCGCCAGTGGTGAAGGCGCCCCACACGCCATCTCCCGTCTCGCGCTGGTTCAGAAGGTCCGCATCTGCAAGAGACCGACGAGCATCCCTGCAGAGAACGTATTATCAAAGGGCCCCGCCTCTGAGTTCTTACACTGCGGCTCGCAATGCCGAGGGAGTCATCACAATGATGTCCTTTCTCGGGACTGAAGGATCAAACGCGGATGTTGACATGGTGGTACTTATGGCTCACATCCAAGCGGCATGCAAGCACATTGCTGCGATCCTTTCATCCCCCAGAGAGTTGCAGTACAATTATGAGCCCTACTTCGAGGGTGGGAAGCGGGATGACTCGAGGTCGTTGAAGAGTATTTCGGTGCGTTGAAATCCTTTTCCTTTCGCAATTCGTTGCCTAGACGATGCTACTATAATCATAGGCGTAATGTTTCAAGAAGTTTGATCGGATTCTTGAGTTTTGCTGTGCTATTGAGAGGTTTCATCTTTTAATACCTCCTACAGCAGATCAGGTGAGAACTGGTTGAATTAATGATGCTCACTCTTTGATGGTCGCAGAATTACATATTCCAATTGGCTCTAAGAAACTCAGGAAAAGTGGCAGCAATCTCATCTGAAGAGGATGAGGCACCCATATGGTTTGGGGATGGCCCTTACATTGTTGTGTTTGATTCCCTCGATGGGTTCGAAGATTTCGATGAACTCACTCCTACAAGCACCATGTTCAGCATCTACCACCGGATACACGAAGCTGATCATCTGCTCTTGGAACAAAAAGCTACCATAAATGTGATGCAACGAGGAGATAGGCTTGTGGCAGCCGGTTATACCATCTATTCCTCATCTACGATGATGTGTTTCTCTTTAAGGACTGGATTACATGGATTCACTTTAGACCATGATGTTGGAGAATTTGTCTTGACCCATCCAGACATTCAAATTCCTGAACGAGGTTTCCTCAACAACCTACCTATGATTTTCAGGCCATTGGTTTTGTACGGCCATCTCATGCTCTATAAGTCTTAGAATGCTGCTGTATCGCTATGGTCCGAAATAATCTCCGGACGTCAATGATTCATTCATAGCAGTGTATTTTCAAAGGTTTAGAATTATGGCACAATTTTGCTCTAAACTGGGTAGTTCAGACTACCCATCCCAGGTTACCGAACTGTGGAGGATTATGTTGATATTTATATTCCTGCATACGTTGACCTAAACATTAGACATTGTATCATGCATGTGTATATGTAAGTTGGGAGATGTCGGTGAAAATGGCTCGAATTCTATATTAGGCTCTTGAAAAAGAACATTACTTTTCTAGTTTCAAGTCATGAGACGCATCAACTGTTTTCTCGTTATGTTAAAAAACCATGTTTTCTGATTTACATCTCTTGGTGGTCTATTTACAGGCAATGTCTATTCTGTTGATGATGGAAGGTATTTTGATTGGCCCCCTGGCTTACGCCACTACGTTGATAATATTCGGCAAGGGCAGGGTCAAAGCTCACAACGATACTCTGCTAGACACGTTTCCTCCTTAGTTGCCGATCTGCATCGAACAATATTGTTTGGTGGTATTGTAATGAATCCACGTACACAATTGCACCTGATTCATGAAGCGAATGCAGTGAGTTTTTTGGTGGAAAATGGTGGTGGACAAGCCATAGATGGTAGGCGCCGAATCTTGGAGATTCAACCCACACACTTGCATCAACGGATGCCTCTGTTCCTTGGTAGCAGTGCCGACGTTTCAGAGCTTGAAGCGTATGGCGATATTCAGGAAGTTTTTGACCCCAACTCTGAATCCGATGATGATGGTTACCTTGATTAGTAGCTTCTCATGATCTGAGATCGTGATCTGCCTCAATCCAAAACACCTGATTGATGTGACTGTTCTGCTGCATCATAGCTCCTTTAGACACTTCACTGCTGATCAGGGAAGAACCGCTGATGAGCAACCCCGAGCAACTTAGAGCTTTGGTGGAATGGAGAACGGGAGGGTTATATAGCGGTGAGCAGCTCACAAACGATGGAAAGACGTGACTTCATGTCCTTTCATCGTACACAATTTTGACAGTTTATGGAGTGTATACTTGAAAATGTAGATCAACCTTTCCATAGTGGTACATCCTGTTTTTCGAGAATTGGTAGGTGACACTTTTGAGCTTGGAGATACAAATTCGTGTGATTTTCGAAAAAAAGCGTTAAAGTTTTGCCCATTGCCAATGTATCATTCTTCACGTCTAAAGCTAGTCTTTATCTTTGTGCTGTCATGTTCTTGTCTCGTGACCCTTGTCGAATGTGCCTTAGAAGGCGACCGCGCAGTGGAGCTCATCACATCTCTTTCCAAGCAGAGAACTGGTGCTTTTGAATGGTGGAAGTTTGGGTTGTGGTCTTTACCTCGAAATGAAGCCATCCATATATATATATATAACCACATATTTTTCTGCATACGTGATGCTTGACCAGTTCTATTTACAACTTGTAATGAAGTGGGGTTTAAGAAGTTTAGAGTGGACTGTAGCAAGATATTAGAGTCATCTGCAAAACACTGGCAAGTTCATGCTGTAGCCCAAATGTGTCTGGTTTCTTGACAGTTCTTGACATTATAAATGAAGGTTATCACCATCAAGGATGGCTTCACAGTCGGAGCCACGGTCCAGCAGATTGGACACCAGCAAGAACAAATTTGCTTTGTGAGGGAGAAGAACTGGCAGTCACTATGTTTTCATGGACAGAAAAAATGATAGTTTTTACTCTAAGCGTCAGCCTGGAAAAATTGACCTAATAGTCGTTTCGTTTTTATTTTGTATTAGGACCACGTTAAAATCTACGTTTGCTTCATAAATATGTGAATGGTGCTTTGAAGTTTACACAAATGATCTATTTCTAATTATCTTAATATAAGACATGAGCACATTTGGTTTTGATAAAATGTAGCATTTAAAGCAAAATATATACAATGTATGTTTCTTTAAACGTTGAATTTTAAATATATTCAATGATTACGTCCTTCAAAAAAATTAGTTTTGAAATAATGAAATACTTATGTATGTTATAATTATAAAACTATAAAAATGAATAAAGTTTTAAAAAAAAGAAGTATTTGTATTTAAAATCATAAAGATTGAAGGTAAAGAAAAATTTGTATTTAATAAACGACACAAGAAACTATTTTTTGATGTAAGATAAATAAATATTTTATATTATTAATATAAAATATTTGAACTTCATCAAGAAATATACTTGTTACAAAATTATTTAAGTATTCAAAAACTTAAAGTCAAAATAATATGAAATTTATCTTATCTTATTATTTAACAATCTTATCTTACAAAAATACAATAAGCAAGTTTTAATTAAAAATAACTAAATATATTATTATATTAAAGAAATCTTATAATAGATATTAAAGAAATATAACTGAATGAAGCATAAATACAAAAAGATTAACAAAATGCACACACAAAAACATGTAGGAAAAAAAAATCCAATTCCAACACCTTTTATTTATAGATAGAAAATACATAATAATCCATCTTTATTGGATCATTATAAGATTCTTTTTAATATTAAAATTTTTAGAATAAAAAATTTAAAATCTAATTTTTTACTAACCTTAGTTGCTACTTATCTTAACAAATACTAACTTTTAATATCCTTTGATCATAAGCAATTTATCTAATAGAAGCTTTTAGGTATTATATACATATATATATATATATATATATATATATATACATCATATTCTTTAATAGTAAGTATAACAAATATAAGATTAATTTTACATATTTTTCTTTTTTCTTATAATTCTAAAAAATATGGCAAAAAATTATTTCTATTTAGAAGGAAGCTAATATAGTCCAATTCTAATCCTATTCAAGAATAGTTCTATGTTTAGAGCTGAAAAATGGTTTTAAATGTATTAAATTGGTTGGTATAATCTTTTTTTAGTTTGTAAGTAGGTTTTAACCAAATTAGAATTGAATTCTAATTAATTTAAGATTAATTTCTATTATATTTGTGTGTTTTTATTTATGCTAGAGTAATAGAATTTCAATTCAAAATGATTGTTATTAGAAACCAAAGGCACTTGCATAGTTTTTAGGAGCCATTTAAATATGGATCAAGAGTCAGTTGAATATTGATATAAACTTAAGGTATAAATTTTAATTAATTTACAAATTATAGACAAATGAAGATTTTTGGTAATTTTTATTAATTTATGTACTATGATATTTTCACAGATCACAATTAATTATTATATAAATAAAGATGGCATGCATAATAGAAAGCACTGTATACATACGTAAATAATATATCTTCTTAATCTAACAATCCTTCTATTATTTCTATACTTTGTTAAAATATCATAAATTCCAAAAAATCCACAAACTTCAAACCAAAATCATATAATTATAAGGCATTTACACAACTAACCCTAAAAGTCATATAATTGCCAATACTTCTTTGTTAGTATAACATAGGCTTGACCTTGTTTGGAATTTATCTTATTTACTGTTACACCCTTATATTTTTATCTAATAATACACATTTTTAGCCATAGAAATTTTTATATAATGATTAAAATAGACAACTTTGCAATGATTTTATTGTTAATAAAGATTTCACATAGTTAAAGGTTCAAAAGAGGCGTTCATGTTTTTAATAAGAAATAAAATAAAATATTAAATATGGTTGCATAATTTGATATTTTAAAGGATGTAGTCTAATTAAGAAATTGGTTGATGTACTTTTCTTGAGATAATAATAAAAAATAAGTTACAGTATTAATATATTATAGTATAATTTTTTTAGTATTTATTTAGATTAGGATTAAACAAAACCAGCTTATTATTGATTTATATATATAAAATAATATCAAATAACAAGATATTATATTCTTTTGGATGTTGATTAGAATATATAGGAAAAATTAGTTTCCTTCAAAAGTGATAGGTATACAAGGATCAATTGAGGGAGCATTGATGCAATCAATTTAGATAGTCAAATATGCAATCTTTTCTACTTTCTATATCTTTTATTATATTTTTATATTTATCTTGTAACATGACTATTTAGTAAAAATTTGGATGAAGATCAAAATGTGTAAAAAAGACTTAAATAATAAAATAAATAGATATATAATTTTTAAAGAATTTGTAGCTAGTTGATTGAGCATGATTAACATTTTGATGTTTTATGCTATTCTTTTGATGAAAATAGCTTCTACTTACTTTGTACAACCATAAAGATTAAAAAATAAGGTAGGATAAGAAAAAAAATAATCCAATAATTTTTGAGAAAAAATTTAGATTAATATTTAAAGTTATATGCAATAAAAAATATTGATATTAAAAGAAGTATATTTGTGAGGTAAGAACAAAATCAAACCTTTAGATAAAAAAATAATATCTATGGCAAAAAAGGTTTTTTTTAGACATCGAAGTGTGAAATTAGATAAAAGATTTTTGTTAAAGAATAGAGCATAATAAAATAAATTAATTTTTTTAATAACCAAAAATAATTAGAAATATTAAATAATCAAATTAATTAATTTTTTGTAATATCTTGTATTGTTAATAAGTGAAAAGTCTCTTATCATACTAATTTTTGTATTTAGTGCTCATAGAGCTAAAACCATAATTTTAGAATTTATTTGATTGAAAAGAAATATCAAGTATTGATTAAGATTAATTTTTTTTAAGTATCAATATGTCTTTGTTGTTACTTATTTTAGATTGAAACACAACTAATTTGATACAAATTAATTATCACATTCAAGAATATATATATATTTTGAAATAAAATATTTTTAGAAGCATTTTGGGCAAAGAAGAAAGTTTACATTTTCTACTCTCTACGAGAATATCAAAGTTCAAATAGTAAGTATTATTTTGTTGATTAATAATAAAGCATCTTGTATAGCCAATTGATGTTAGTAAAATTACACCTCCAACATTAAAACATAGATTATGTAAATATTCATACTAAATACACTTAACATAAATATTATTTTATTCTATCACCAATGTTTTTGAAAAATAATTTTTTACAATCAATTATGTATTATTTTAAAATAAAATAAATATAGCCAAAATAGCTATCTAAAAATCTTAATTTGTTTTATTTATTATTTACGTATGCTATCTTCACAAAATAACTAATTTAATTTGTAAGAATCTTTTGATATGATTAAAACCTTCAATAAAAAATAAATTTTAATGAAACCACTAATTAAATAAAAATATTATATTAAACTTTAACCTTCATGCATAAACTTTGGTTTAAGTTTTTCAAAAAGCTTTAATTATAAAAAACTAATCTTAAATAGGGCTCTTAGTAACATTACTAGCAGCAACATCAATACAAAGTGCACAATTAATCTATCTTTTTTAAAGATGCATATACACATTAGCATTGGATCTAAATAAGACCAAAAAATATGGTATTTGTAAGACAAGAAATAAAATTGTATTATAAAAAATATAATAATATATAATTATAATACATGTTTAATCTTCTATAAGTTCTATGTTAATTATGTCTTTTTCAAAAATCAAGAAATTTTGAAATAAAAAGAAAATTTGCTAATATATATATTAGAATATTTAAAAAATAAAATTTTAATTTAAAAAGAAGATGTCAAGGATATGAATCACAAAACAATCATAGATTCAATATATTCTTATATCATTACAAAAGAGTAAATATTCAATTAATGATATTTATGATATTAAAAATAGAATGACTATTGCCTGAGACAAGAAGATTAGAGACTCTCAAAATAAGACTAAGAATAAAAAAAAAGGCATTGATAAGATTAATGAAGGTCTTACTCTTATCTCTATATATGCTATCTAATTAGAGGTTACATGACAATATTCTACATAATCTCCAATACATATTTAACTTGTGAAACATTTGTCTAACTTGCAAAGAAAGTTTCTTATACGTGCACCACATGGCCAATTTGTATTACAAGTGGGCAATATGTGCAATACATGGCCAACTTATTGACCAAGTATTTAACCTATCAATGATCTACAAATATGTATAAAATCAAATTTGTATCTATAAAGCTTCCAAGAAGCTTTCCCATAAGATATTATCAAATTTACTTATCGTCACTTATTTCTACATAACTCTCCTTATCTAGGTAATTATAAGTATTCGTTATATTTGTAACTAAATGTAGTTCAGTGCATGTATAGGAATAATACAAGTATATGAGATACAATCTTAAAATAATAATAAAAATATCTATCTACCATCACAATTACTAGGTTGCTTATTTTTGCAAATTATAATTTAAGAGCTTATTATAAGCTTAACCATAAAAAACCAAGAATTTATAAAACTTAGATATAAATTATTATTTTTTTAAATAATTATTATTATTTCTTATTAGTCAATAGTTATAGTAAAATTTAATAGTAATAAAAAAAATCCACTAATATCAAGTTATTAAAATATGTTGCAAGGACAATATTATCATATCAAAATAGTAATTGATAATTCTAAATTTGAAATATTTAAATATTTATATAAAATTTAAAAAGATATTTAAGATATAGATATTTAAATTTTTTATAGATATTTAAGATATTATATTTCTTTCATATATTGATAATTCTAAATTTGAAATATATGAATATTTATACAAAAATTATATACAAATATAGAAATTATAAAAGCGTTGTAGAAATATAATGAATTTTTTTGCATTAATATTATATCTTATAAAATATAATTTGATTTTTAGAATTTATAAACAACTAAGTCATAATTATTCTAAAAATCTACTCAATAATAATCATGTATAGGATATTAATCCAAAATCTATTTTCACTCACTCTTATTGTATTACTTATAATTTTTTGGATACCTTTTTAAAAATATATATATATATATATATATATATATATATATATATATATATATATATATATATATATATATATATATATGTTTTTAGCATGTATAAGTTTGTAAGATACATAGATTTTGTTTTTGTAAAGTTACTTGTTTCTACACAAATTTAGCTATAAAAATTAAATTTCATATTCTAAACAATTATTTTGATTTTAAAATCTAATAAAAAATTCTAAAATTCTATCAAATAAATATATGATTTTTATTATATTAGTTATAAATTCTCATAAATTATTTGATTAAAAATTATATTAAAAATTATTAAAAATATTTATTATAATTAATTTTTAAATTAAAATTATTATTTGTTTTTTTTATTAATAATTCTTTCAATCTATTTGATTTAGTTTCATTTATTTAAAAACAAAAATTGATTATGAAAAAAATTGAATAAATTTTTTAAAATATCAAAATCATATTAGATAATAAAATACTAATTGTATAAGATGATGGAATGTTTTTTTTATATAAACTTCTAATTTTCTTGTCATTTTTTTATAAAAATAACTAACATAGAAAAATTCTTTTTAGTTTGTTAATAAGCAAAAAATATCTTTTTAATAGAAAAATTTGTAATTATAGTTGAATTTTTTATGGCCTTAAAAATGATATTTAATAACAAAAATAATGATAAATTTCATTACAAGAGATTACAACTAATTAATAAGTTATATTATTAACTTGCTTCAATTATATATAAGCTGTTGAAAAATTTCAAAATACTTAAAACGCATAGATTAAATATTGTAGATAATTAATTGTTTCTTTTGTATTATTATGGAGTTTGACAACCCTAATTATTAGTATCTGCCAATTATTTTATATAGACAATAGATGCTATATATATATATATATATATATATATATATTTTCATCTTGTACAAAAATATAGTTTTTTTGATTGTAGTTTGACTTTAAACATCAAGTTGATAAATGTTTAAAATATTTAAATTTAAATATTAGCCTTGAAGACGCTGTATTCTAAGTTCAGCTGGAGATTGTAAGAAGACGAAGGTTTACAACCACGTCAGTTTCGGTATCTAGAGGTCGTGCTCATGTGGAGAGTGAATGTGACTATAGCATTGCCGCATTACAAGGCGCAATTTACGTGAGAAGTCTGGTTGAATCGAGGGACTGAGTTTATCTTCAGGAATGAGCATGTGTCATTTTGGACGGAGGTTTTTGACGGGAGAGTAGTGTTCGATTAAAGAAAGTCAAGTAAAGAAGCTGAGTTTTAGTTCCGGTCCCTGTTGTGAGTTTTGTGAATTGAGCCGCTACGATACCACTGCTAGAGGAATTTCCAGTGGTTGAGTTTTCGGAGTGGGAGTCACCTCAGTTACTGTTCCTGGACGCGCCATTCTGCTACTTCTACGACAATTGAAGATTTGCAGACCTGCATTGATGCAGACCACGAGTTAAGGTGAAGGACTCCGGACACACTTTTTCCACTTACCTGACTCATAAGGAGACTTTGGACAAGGGGAGAATAGAACTCATGACTTTGAGTTAAGGGCACACGTATCTCGGAGAATTTGACGGTATAGTTGCTGCCAGTTGTGGCCTTCATGGTATGATGTGTTGTAGAGTATCATCACTGGAATGTCTTGAAGTTGCCTTCTGAAACTTATGGCCTTTGCCGCCACGAAACTTATTTGGTCAAGTTCCACATCCACTCGTAGTTGCGCAGTCAGGTCCATCTACTGAAGCGCCTCAATTCCTTGTCTATGGACGCGAAACAAAACTGAATCCTGAATCCCAAAGCGACAAAGAGAGCCAACATGGTCTCCCTGGGGCTGCCAAGAACAAGTGAACAACCTCTCACAATTGTGATGGAGCAATCCACTAGCACAGCACCTCGTCCGACAGCAAAAACAAATCAGCAGTTTCTCTGCAGAATCATCAATGTGCGGGCATCCAAATTTTCAAGCGGCGACGAAATCTAGACGATTAGGATTAGTGCAGTCGAGTTGTTTATTTTGAAGTCCACATGGGACACATTGATGATGAATGGTGTGGGTTTTAGGCCACTTTTGGGATTTTATATTTAGGGGACAAAGTGAGACGTCATGATTTTTAAATTCTTTGATTGGTTGAAATTAAAATAATTATTAAGTTGATTTTATATTTGTAAATTTAGTCCTAAAGTATTAAGAGGAAAAGATGAGAATTGCACTTCTATTGTAAATGGCATTAACAGTGTTGTCTTTCAGTTTATGTGGGATCCATCTAAAGAGACTAGTTTTTAGAATTTTTGAATAGCAGTGTAAAATAATGTATTAAACAGTAATTTGAAAAACAAGAAATAAAGCCATGGTTATGGGGTGGCTGTGTGGCAGGAGGTCGAAGTAGCTTCTTGCGGTGTGAAAAGGATAATTAACTTTTGTAGGAGTCAACGCCTAATTCTAGAGCACATTGAAAAACTCCATTCAAAGTACAATACCTATTAGTTTCAGTTTTATCCTTTTGTCCTCTTTCCATGACAAGAAGTGAGTAACCTTCTGGAAGGGGTGAAATCAGCAAAGCTCCTTGGTCACCCATGCCCGTGATATCAGAGCCCCGGTCATGGGATTGAGTCTGTGACCATGGCAGGAAACCCCTTTGAATCATCACCATGTTACTGGACATTCCCATTCCAGGCATCATTGTCTCACCCATTCTGAAAACTCCTCTTCTTCTTTTCTTCTTAATTCTTAATGAAAAGCCTTTGATAACTTGTTTGAGGGTCCAATAGTATAAAAAAGAGCTCACAAGGGAAGCATGGGCTTGAGTTCCATTTTAGAGGATATTCTTTCAACATGCTTCTGACCTTCTAAGGCCTCACCTGATTTCAATGTCTTTCCACCAATTTTATCAGATTGAGGAGAGGAAACCACCAAAATAAGTAAAATAAATAAATAACCCACTTGGATAAAAGGCATGGCACAAGCAATACTGATTGCATCCATTCATGATTCAAGTTCTCAAGCCCATGTTCCCAAGGCAAGCAGAAGTCTCTAGGATTAGAATAGCCATGAGAATACATGTTGGTTGCTGGTGGTAGTGGCCATGCCCTAGCCCATTGCCAATGCAATTAGGGCCTCCTCCTATGTTCAATAGCTGGGCAATGTTATTCTTGGACTTTGCATGCACTTAGTGATCCCAGCAAAGCAAAGTCCACCCATTTTCAAAATTTGTACCTAAATGTCTTATGGATTAAAGCACTTTATAATCTTTCATAGGAAGTTATGAAAAGATCTTTCTAGTAAATATGCAAGTGGCCATTCATGGGAGGCCATAAAAATATATTTTTAGTAAATAGGTAAGTGAACTTTCATAGAAGGTCATAAAACGACCTAGTGACTTCCTATTGCAAGTCAAATATGCACCAATGCATTGGTAGAATGCTCCACCTACCTTTTCTGCTCTCCAAGGTTGATTGACAAGTTGTCAACTCCATTACTAAAAGTGATGATGTGTCAAAAAATTGAGGAGGGTTTTGTATTCTAGCTTCAATTTTGCCCATCAATCAAGCATGGAAGGAGGCCTTACTACCATGATTCCCATGGAAAAAACACTTGAAATATGTGAAATATGTGAAATATCAAGAATACCCTGTATTCTTGATAATAGCACACATACCCTCCACTTTTGTTGAAATATGAAATCTACTAAGTTATCAACTTGTCACAACTTATCACAACTAAGTTTTTAGTTTCAAATGGGCCCAAAACGCATTTCCTGCCGCGGTCCTCGCTGCCACCACCACCTCTGCGCCTCACCATGAAGAGGGTTGCTGAAACTAGGCAATGGAGAGTGATAAGACCGATGACGACTTTGTTGTAGTCCAGAACTGGTAGAAAAGTCACAGCCGATGCACCCTCTTCCATCTTCTTCATGGCTGCAATTACCATAGAATTCTCCGCAATCCACCTCGGCTCCCTGCAGGATCACCACAACAAAACAACAACATCAGCTCCGGACAGCATACTAAAATTTTCTCAGGTCCTGATTTAGCTAGAAGATGAGATCAGAGCTTCAGGGTTCAATGGTTCACCTATTGCACATTTCACCCACTTGGAGGTGGAAGATATTTTCTCGGTTGGAGTTAAGTGCTCGACACAGATCGCCGTCTGTGAATGTGCCCAGGAATTGATTGGATGCGTCGATGACAATGAGGCAGCCGTATCCCATGACTCTCAGCTCCACTAGTTGATCCATGATCAGATCACTCTCTGTGCATAATGGTAACGAGTAGCCTTTTCGCATTATGTCCTCGACCTGGGTCACCAAGACACTCACTGAGACACCGTCTCATACAGCCAGGCATACTGCTCGCGTGCCAAATTCTTGGTTTTCATAAGTGCTATGGAGACAGTGTCGCAGAACAGCATCTGGATGGCAGTTGAAGTGACTGGCGCAAGATAAAAGGGGCATAGCTCTCGTTCTAGAGGGAGGTATACATGCATGTCACACATCTTCCGAAAATTGGAGTGTTTGAGCAACGAGATGTCCACAAAGTAGGCACTCCTAGCTATCGCGCATGGAATGAGTATGTTGAGCTCCTCAGTGGCTCCTGACTTGCTGAACAAGACGAGCACATCGTTGGGACCAACAAGGCCGATATCCCCATGCAAGGCATTAGTCGGGGATAGAAACACCGCCAGCGCACTTGTCGAGACCAATGTCTGCGCGCACTTTTGGGCTACGAACCCCCTCTTGCCCACTCCTGAGAAAAAGATAACCCCCTTTGTGTCGGTGCACAGTTGCGTGAATGCTTGCACCTGTTTACATGGCAATGCTAATTGATTTATTCCACATCGGTCCGGTTACTTACTCATCGTCAGTCACCTTTGATTGATTTACAAAACCATAAGTCGATTGATCACCTCTTTGTAATTCAAGTTCTTGAAGAAGTACTCGAGAAGCTGCTGTTGATCCTAGAACAACTGCTTCAGCTGCCGTATGCCAAATTCATGCTTCTCGCAATGCTAAGCATCAATGTTCTTGAAGGAGTACAAGACGTAACCATCGCCATTGGCCAGGGAATCTACTGTCGACAATTGGATATCTGTTCAACTTCCTGTGCAGAGCCTCCAAATTCGGCTGAAGTTCTCAGAATTAGCTCCCACTTATCTTGTAACCAGATCTGGAAATTCTTGGCGAGCTCCCAAGTAGTTCCATGACTGCAAAAATGTGATCACATTTATCCTGGCTTGCTCGGGAACTCCACGGTCCACGGAACTCCAAATTTTACACCACAAATTGCAGCAGATTGCAATTTAGGACACATTCCGGATTCACCATTCATGTGACAATTCAAAGTAGCATTCCGGCCATTATCACCAAGATTTCATTCCACGTCACAAAGATCCTTCCTCTCGTCAAATTGTTGAGCATAGGCGAGGAGATGGAGGGACACAGAAAAGAGAGCTCATGCACATTGATATTCTAAGGGATCACACAGCAAACAACCCTTGGATTGTAACGCAGGGCATGTGGAAGCATTTTAGATTTTAGGTCTCTATTCACCAACTACAGTACCATGCCAAGAGCCGTGCATCTTGTGATACTTGTGAAAGATCCCATTCCAAGATGACTTCAGAAAGCGGCAAAATAATCATCTCCATTCACGGAAAGTGAAAAATGTTGACATGCAAAGTTGAGCCTTCTTGCTACAATTATGAAATGAATGATCGAAAGACTTCTGGGTCATACAGATCATGAAATGACTCCTCTACATGTGAGGTATGTGTTGCCAATTCTGCAAAATTAGGACTAAATCAGTATGTTAATGCTTCGTAAGAAGTTGCACAACCGCTTGTGACAGGCATCCAGCTATTTGAGAGCATCCAATCCATACTTGCGAGCATCCAATCCATTGTGGTGGTGGCAGTGAAAACCGCTGCAGGAAATATGGTTTGGGCCCATTTGAAACTAAAAACTGAGTAGTTGTGATAAGTTATCAAAATGAAGGGTAGATGTGATATTTTGACAAAAGTGGGGGGTATGTGTGCTATCATCAAGAATATGGGGGTATGTTTGATATTTCTACATATTTCAAGGACATAAATGAAATTTTTCCAAAAAACAACAACAATCCTTCAACAAATTGACCTTGATATTATTATTTATAAAAAGTAGTCAATACATGGATAAATATGTGGTCTCATTTTGAAAGTCACTTGGAGTGTTTATAATATATTTATAATGAAATTCTTCACTCCATGATAAGTAGTGTGCAAGGAGTGAAGAATTAGCTCTCAAATTTTTCCACTAGATCATGTAAAATAAGATTTGTGTTTTTCAATAAGTATATTGGTTCTTTAGGCCACAATAGATCATTTCAAAAACATAGCAGCACATATTGCATGTAATATAACATTCTTTAGAAATGGGTATGGATGTGGGTAGCAAAATAATAAGAGCTCAATAACAAATATATTTCTATCTTGGATATTATTAATATTATCTACTACCAAAGTCAATAATTTAAAATAAACTAAGATTTTGATGTCATATTTGAATTGTCAAGGACATGAACTTGATAAAAATAAATAAACAAGTAAAACTTTTTAAAAAAAGTATAAAAAAATAAAAATAGATAAGTATGTATACTAAAAAAGAAACTGGAATGACTATTGCCAAAAGACAAGAAAACTAGAGATTCTTTAAACTAGAATAGAAATATGAAAGGAGTTGACAAGAATGAAGAAGGCTTCACTCTTGTTTCTATAAATACTATCTATTTAGGAGCTATGTGGCGATGTTCTATAGGACCTCCAAAATGTATTGACTTTGTACAATACATATCTTAACTTGCAAGGTAAGTTTTCTATATGGATGCCATATAATTAGCTTATTCCACAAGCTACTAATACATGTGGCATGTGATGAACTAGTTGATTAAATTTCTAACCTACTAATCAATTATAAATACATATAAAGTTAAAATATCATCTATAAATCTTTTAGGAAGCTTCTTTAAAAAATATTATAAAATTAATCTATTTTTATCTATTTTAATCTATTCATATTACTTAAATAATAATTATGATAAATACATGTCCATGACATTACCCCCCCTTTTGAGGACAAGTTTCACAAAGAATAGTGATCACATGTTGAGGAAGCCTAAGATGCAACAAATTGTATTTACTATATATTTTGATCTTTGTTTCTTTTGAAGGTGATTGATAGGTCCTCTTAGACATCAATAATGTTCTATTTTAGGACAAGAAAACTACCTTCTTATTTGATTATTATTGAGACCTTTGTAACTTCTTTCAAATAAAATATTTGTAATACTATTAGGAGTCATTTTTACCTTGAATAAAATCACCAAACATTGAAACTCCCTTCTCATGTCATGATATCAAACACATTGTATCTTGCCATCTATTTGAGGAAGAATATGTCATTTTTCAAAGATCTTCATTTCTATTATGTTATCTTAAACACAATGATAATTTTAATATCTTGTCCGATAAGTTAACAAATGTTGGCTCTTCAATTGAATTTGGTAGCTATTAATTCTCCATCTTCTTAATACTACAATTATATAAAAATTGCAAACAAGGATAGAAGGTAGAATATATTTTTTTCTAAATTGTGTTTCTTTTATAGCAATTTTTTTTTATCCTTCATCTTAGTTTTGATAGATGTCATTGATTAAAAAATTTGACATTCTCTACTACATTTGTAAGGTTTTTTACTAACTTTCATGTATATTTGCTAATATTACATTTGTGCCAATAAATAAGATATTTCAACGTATATTGATGTTGCCTAAAATTTAAGGCTTTTTTTACTTTGAATTCTTCATTATTATCCATTTTTATACGAAGCAGTGATATTTATCTTTTTCTAGAGATATTTACTGTCTTATGTGGCTCCAAAAGAGATATGTGAAATATAAGATGGATTTTCATAGATTTTGGTAGATGTAATCAATAAGCAACTGAATTAACTTGTTTTTAAATAAAAAATGATTCAAGTCTATAATAATCCAACTTGTTACAATCACAAATAGTTTTAATATTATTACAAAGTAACCTTATCTTATTATTAATGTGGAAATGATCTTATTCCTTATAATAGGCATTTGCATTGCTGTTTTGTTGTTTTTGACCCTGTTTTAGTTATGCCTTTATTATTACATGTAGCTTAAATAAATTATTTTCCAAATCTTTCACCATAGAATTATCAACTTTTGAAAAGTCAAAAGTATCAAGTCATGGATGATAATTGTAATTAACAACAAAAATAATTTATTACATAGAAGAATATATTGTGTTATTATAAGTAAACTTTGCTAATAATAAAAGAATTGTATAATCATCTTATTGGTAGTTGATGGTATTCCTCAAATATTACTCTAAAACTTAATTTATATACTTTATTCATCCATCAATTTATAGATAGAAAGTTAAAGATAATTTTATGTCTATCTTTAAAATCTTAAAAAGTATTATCTAAAATCTTGATATAAGTTGAGTTCCCCTATCCAATATAATATCTTTAGGCAATCTATGATAGCAATAGATGTTGTCAAAAAAAAGCTTGGTTATTATTTCACCTATGATAAATTTTGTATATAGTACAAAATGTGCCATCTTGATGAAACAATCTTCTATTACAAATATAAAATCATAAGAACTTGAGATTGAAAGATCCATGATAAAATCCATAGAAACAAAAGACTATAATTGTTTTGGAATGGATAATAGTTGAAGAAGTCTATAAGGTCAATAATGAGGAGTTTTTGATTTTAAACAAATATCAAAAGATTGTACAAAATCTTTGACCACCTTCTACATTTGGAGCCACCAAAACTCCTTAGATATTATTTCTAAAGTCTTATTATATCCAAAATCTTCTACTATTGAAAAGCTATGATGGGCTTGAAAAACACGTAATTGAGTTTTATCTTTTAGAACATATAATTGCTCCTAAAAATATTTAATAGATTGTTCTTAAATTCAAACTTAGAAGTATGATAAGAATTTAAAGGATTTTCTATAATATCACAAATAAGAAGATCAATAGACATACTTAATTGAGATTGCTCAATAAAAATTGAATCAACAATTAGTATTGATTTCATTGCTTGAAGATAAAAATACTCTAGCTTCAAGAAAATTTTCCATTGTTGATCAAAAGTGCCATCTCCTTCCTTTAATATAAGATAAGATTGTCTAGAAAGTACATCTAATAAATCTTATTGTTTTTTTAGTTGATGAGTGATCTTAAATTCAAATCTTAAAAAGACATGCTTAAGTAAGCTTAGCAACAATTTAAAACACGTGTTGACATAAAATACTCAATATTCTTATGATCTGTATAATTGATAATTAGATTAAAAGTACATTTTAGATAATGGCACTATTTTTGAACCAAATTCACAATTGTAAGAAGTTTTTTGTTGTGGATCTTTTAATTGATCTCAATTGCTAAAAAATTTCTGAAATAAAAAACTACTAAGTGAAGTTTATCATTTATTCTTATTTATAATAATATGGCATCCAAAGTAAATTTTGATGTATTTATTTCTATAAAAAAATGGCTTAGAAAAATCAATGTAATACAAGATTGGTGCAAAAAAAAAGGTTGTCTTTAAAGCTTCAAATGTTGTTGTTGTTGTTTTTTGTTTTTTTTTTTTTTTTTTGTTTTTTTTTTTTTCTATTAAAATTTGTCTTTATAAGTCAAATGTGTAAGTAAAGCTGCAACTTGAGAGAAGTCCTTGATAAAGATCCAATAATAGTTAGAAAATCCTAAAAAGTATTAGACATCTCTTACCATTTTTGATTTCTTCTAATCAATAATAGTTTGAATTTTCTTAGGATCCATCATAAGTCCATCATTTGAAATGATATATCCTTAGAAGTTGACTTGAGTAAATTGAAATACTCACTTTTCTATCTTGACATAGAATCCTACATCTCTTAATTTTTGTAATATATAACAAACATGAATTTCATATTCTTTTATGTTTTTAGAATAGATTAAGATGTTGTTTAGATAACAAATAATAAAATTATCCAAAAACTCTCAAAAAAAATCATTTATTAGATGCTGAAAAGCTACTTGTGCATTTATAAGTCTAAAAGGCATGACATTATATTTAAAATATATGTATCTTGTTCAAAACATAATTTATTATTTATTTGATTTTTTTATGTATATTATATTGTATGCTCTTTATAGATCTAATTTTTATAGATTTTAACTTAATTCAACTAATGAAGAAGTCTAATTATCAAAAGTAACAAATACTTATTCTTGATGGTGATCTTATTGAGTCCTTAATAATTAATACACATCTGCAATAATCTATCTTTTTTTTTTTCATAAATAAAATTAAAATTCTTCTTGGAGATTTGAAATGGTGTATGAAGTTCTTGGCTAGATTTTCTTCAATATATTCTTTGAATCTAGCTAACTCATTTTGTGATAAACTATAGATTGGTCCAAATGGTAGTTGAACTCTTTTTTGAAGGTCAATTAAGCAATCATAGGAGCAATGATTTGAAAGACTTTCTTCATTTTTTTTTCAAATATATCTTTAAAATCCTAATATTAATTAAAAAATACAATTTAAAGTCTTTTTACCATTAAAAATAGGTGGCAT